TTCATTACTTAATTCATTGTTAAAGAATGGACAATGAGCTGATATTATAGACGTATTCTCTAATGTTTGGTCTACATCAATATATGTTTTTTACATCGTAAAAATCCTCATTATTTAACAACCTTTCATTTTCATTAAAGTATTTTTCAAATATTGAATTCATTTTTAAATAAAAAAATATATTTTATAATAATCTACATAATATCACTATTTGTCAATAAAAATGAGTCAGTCGAAAACAGAATCCGTGAGTTGACTAATCAAAATCAACATAATTCAAACGAATTTACTCTATACAAGGTGGATTTTAAACAAGCAAATATGGTTTTAGCCAATGAGTTAAAAACTATTAACGAAAACTAGGAAATCTGGTTTCCAGACGTCTCGAAAAGCTCAAAATCCTTATCTCTAGTATTATGGTGGGTCCCCATTATACATCAGAATTGATAATTGGAATCTTTTTTTATTGTATTTGCAACATGTAACAACGAGTATATATTTCAAAATTGAATCAGTTGTTGCTTTTTGCAAACATGTATGCTATTATTCGATCACATAATTTTTCCGCGTTCCAATTTAGAACGTACTTCTCTTCGCTTAAACTTTACAAAATATGTCAAACTTGTACAAAATAACACAAAAAAATGAATGAGATTATCTATGTATAAATATTTGATAAAGGCTAATATACTCGATATATAAGCTTATATACACTATAAATCGCTATAAATTGTTAATTATGTCCCAAAATAACAATAAGTCCTATAAACGCATTAATAGACCTGAATATTATAAAGAAGAAATAATTGCTAATGGTCGTAACTTAGAGCGGGCTTTTGAATCCGAAAAATTATTTGATGAGCTCAGTATAGTCAGGCAGGATGAATAATACGCGTTAGGATCCCTCTTCAAGAATTGATTTTGAAAGGGTTAACTAGCATATATCATCGATTCTAGCAGGGACCTTGATAGTATAATTTTGGCAATTATTATAGACCTAAGCCACTTAAAAATGGGACTGCCGGGTGTATGAAGCCTATGGGTGTTAGTCTCTCGATATTAGGCATCGTCATGATCGTCAACGTTGGATAGAGCAAATTGTTGGAAAAGGTATGATGGAAAACAATGCCAGTTATGTTAATTGGTACAGATGTCAATTCTCGTGTAAGAGGACATGCTCGTAGAGGTGATGGTAAGATGAGAGGAGCGGCATAGAAGATATCGCAGTACTGGAATGACTAATGAGTACCAATCCTTCAAGCTTGAGTATGGTGTTTCCAACAGGCTAGGCTCGGAAATCCCGCAGAATTGTCGATGGCAAGATCACTAATGTCAAATCACTTGGTATTTAGTGTATCAACCATCATGTATTTCATTCAAATGTGGCGGCTATATATAAAGCCTTGGGATCCTCATTCAGCCTGCCATTTCTATTGCTGATGCATCAAGAATGCTCTTAACATCTCATCCCATAAGAACCTATACACTGACACAAACCATCAACACCAGTCAACATGTATATTGAACAACACTTCTTCAACGCACTCTCAATATAGAAAAGATCCAATGAGTGTCTCTCCTGGTCAGAGATATTTAACAAAATAATTGGTCAATCATTATATGTTTTTCCACTTGTTAATCGTATAAAATACATATATAAAATATAATTTATATATAATATATACACGTATATATTTTACATAATATAATTAATTAACAATTAAATGTTCTTTTAAAATAAAAAATAAAAGGAATGTACATAAGAATAATAATGAATAATGATGGATGATAATGAAGTGAAACAATTGAAATTTTTTTTTTTAAAAAAAAGAGAGAGATGAACATCTATAAATGAAAAAAAAGCATGTATGTAAAATTAATAATTATTGTATATAAATATTATATTATATTTTTTTTTTTTTGATTTACTACAAAAATTAAATAAAATTTATTTTCTCCCCCCTCTCCCTTTCTTGTCTAACGATCTATTATAATTAATTTATTGCTGAATAGTAACGTTACGAGTGACAGTTTCGTAATTGTCACTATTTCTTTTTAATATATCAACAACCGGCCCTAACAATCTAACAAATGCTTTTTTACCCAAAGTGGCTACTTTTAATCTACCTTTTGCTGAAATACTCGCTGCACGTGGTCTATTATTAAGTAATGCAAGTTCTAATAAAAAAAAAAATCAAGAATCAAAAATCAAAAATTAATTAATTATTGTTATTAATAATGATAATCAGCAAATGACAAATTGTTTACCTCCAAAATAATCTCCTTTTTTTAACCCAAGGAATTCATGTTCGACGCCATTTTCATCAACTTTTGTTACCGTAGCTTCTCCAGATTCTATCAAATAAAAATCCTCGCCAATATCTCCCTGCTTAATTATCAATTCGCCATCTTCATAATCCATGGATTCCAATGCGTCAGCGATCTTGTGTCTCTCGTAGGGTTCCAGTGATTTAAAAAGTGGTACTTCTTCAAGAAATGATTCATACATTTGTCGCTTACGAGATGTATTCTCCATCAAAATTCTATGAAAAGTTACTCTATCAAGTGCCCAAAGAACTGAATCCGATGTTGCTACAACGGTAGCTGCACGAGGCACATTATACATTAAAGCCAACTCTCCAAAACTTCCACCTGGTCCATAATCCATCACCTTTTCTGCCGGTGCTCCATTTTTTGAAACATAAACATCAAAGCTACCAGTTTCCACGACATAAAAAAAATCACCAATCCCTCCTTGTTTGATGATCTCTTCGTTTTTATTTACACTTATTTCTGCCATGGCATCGATCACATCTTTGCATTGTTCCTCATCAAGATTTTTAAATAGAAAATTGCTAGAGATTGATGTTTCAATCCTTTGTCGTTGTTGTTCAGTCTTTGGAATGACAATTTTTACATACTCATTATTCTGACTTGGAGCAATTGATTCTGCGCTAACTGAAGTTCGTCGACCTCTATTGTAAGTTATTGGAATTTCTGGGAGATCACTTGGTTGATTATCGTACAATTCTTCATTATCAGGAAAATAATCAGTGGTAGGTGTACTTGCTATAGATGTTTTGGCGGAATAAAAGTCCGGAGAAGCTCCCTCTTTAATTTCTGTATCTGATAAATCTGAAATATATAATGGATATTCTATTGATAAATTTTGTGTTGGCGAAGACATAATAATTTATGTGTCAACTATGGAAATTATTTAAAAAAAAATATATAAATTATTAAACAATGCATTTATGTCATGTGTTCCTTTTAAAAGTCTTACTCAATGCTACACAAAGCTAGTATTTATATACATATTTACTTCAATGCCTAAAAGAGTGTAGAACATAGGTATTATACCAAATCTTTTCATCAAATATTTATCTTATGTGTTAACATATTGAAACTCTTTTTTAATCAAGCAATGTTATAGAATAAATGAGATAAATGATTACAAAATACAAATCGTCATCATTAGTTTTTTTTTGACCAGAAATTTAATGTTACAGACTTTAACAATCATGCATTAAACTGGCGAATAATATATAATATTGGTCAAGGTTCAGAATGATTGAAATCAGCCAAGTTGGATGCTTACATAAAAACAAAAATAAACCAACTTGGTGCGATTTTCATATGTAATAACAGTTATAAATTCATAGTATTATCATTAGTATTAGTCAACGAACGGAAGAAAAGGATGCACAAATTCTAATTTTTAGTCAAGCCAACAAGATTATTTTTAAAATAAACATATATCTCGTCACCTTTTTTATTATTATTATTAGTTTGTCAGCGTCACCCACCAATTATTCATATTTGATTTAATCAATCATATTGATTCATTACATATCAACGGATTCATTTAAGTCACTTCATTCAATCATTCGTATTGAATGATTGAATATATCTTAACAGCTAATTTCCAAATTAGCATATCAAAAGTGCGTTTTCTCTTTCATGATAGTTGTCGATACATCTTCACATATATATGTAAAATCCATTTTCATAAATGTAATATCATATATCATATAAACGAAAATAATTAATAATGAATAAAAAATATTACATTGATATTAAATTATGTATGTTAGTAGAAATTAAACGAGGGTGAAAAGAAGAAAGACTGAGAAATAAGCAGCAGAATTCGAAAAGAAGCGGAAGGATGAAAAATAAAAACTATATAGTAAAAAATAATAAGCACAGGAGACAAAAAACAGACCTCGTGTATCAACATTACAAGTCAACAACCGTAATAATATATTTTTTTGATCTAATTTATTTTTGTAAAGTTTTATTCAACATATATTCATCTGTCGCTCTCTCTACATAAATATATATATCTCTCTTTTTAAAATATCAACTTTTCTCTTCCTCTCTTATTTATTCATTCATTCTCTACAATCATTCAAATCATTTCTAAATTATTAATTATTCCCTAGGAAAATAAAATAAAAAAAGATTAATAAAATAAAATGAAATACGCAAATAAAATAAAGGAATAAAATAATATGAATTAAAAAAATAAAATAAAAAATAGTTGTAAAATATAAAGATTATAAAGTATAAAAGTATATATAAAATATTATAATTATATAAAAAAAAATTAATCCAAATAAAGAAAGACGAGTAAATAATATTTTTTGTATATATTGATTATAATTTGTTGAATGATGTTTTGAGTCTATTGTTGTTGAATAATGCTGAAATAAACATATTTATTATTATTCATCTGCAAAAAAATATTGTTTCAATTAATTTATCCAAATCCAATAATATATAATATATTGATATATTCTCATTCACTAAACTAAAAAATCCAAGTTTCTTTTTTTTTTAAAAAAAGTATTCCCTAAAAAATTATTTTGTCAAAACAATAATAATAATCTTTTAAAACAATTAATTAACTAGAAATATGTTACACATGATTGATTTCTATTTCCAACTAAAATTTCCAATTTCCAAATAAAAAGAGAGAGAGAGCATTATATATGTATAAATCATCGATGAGAATAAGGGGGACTTGGGGTGCGACCACCAGATCTGTAATTTGGGCTAAATCCTCTCATTCCAACAGGCGAGCCACCACCGCCACCGCCACGACCATCTAAATAAAAATGAAATAATCAACTCAATCTAATAATTCTTGTATATTATTTTTTCACAAATAATAAATATAACAGTACATACATGGATCAGAAGAACGACTATGAAAAACAAAACCAATGTTTTTTGTTAGAAATTGTGTTATTTTTTTAGAAAAATTATTATAATAAAATTAAAAGAGCACACATACTCGCCGGGTCCATATTTATCTTTACGACGTTGATCTTTCTTACTCAATCCAACATCCCTTTTTATATTATTGTTGTTGTTGTTGTTATTATTATTGTTATTACGAATCTCGAAAAAAAAATTTTTAATTAAAAAAATAATATACCAGTCTAATTTTAATCGACGTCCTTCAACATTAGTACCATTATATTTATCAAAGGCATCTTCGGCATCTCTTCTATCTTCAAACTCAACAAATGCAAAGCTGATAATAATTTTTTTTTTAAAGTAAATTTTGCAATTAATATCACTTACTATTAATTAATATATATATATATATATATAATTATATGAATTAATAAATAAATTTCTTTAATTACCCTTTGTTTCGTCCGGTATAATGATCAGTTTGAACGGTTACTTTTCTTAGACGACCATATCGTTCAAACATATCAGCTACATCTTGTTCATGAAAAGAATAAGGTAGATTACCTACATAAAGTGTTGTTGAATCTCTTCTTTCTTTTTCAGATCCACTATTATTTTATAGTCATCAACAACATTGTCAAAACAAAATATATTATTATTAGATATTATCAAAAGCTCTTGAAAGATCCTGAAAATTATTTATCATTAGTCCGTTCAAACTAACTGCAATCCATTCATCATTTCACTAATTCAATCATTCCGCTTCAACCAAAATCCAATCCAAATCATATTCATATTCATATAAATATAAATATATTGCATGTTATATTAAATTCATATTAAACACCTCTACAAATAATTACCGATCAATAGGTTTACTCCTTCTTGGTGGGCCTCTTCTTTCAGGTGGATATGGATGGTCACGGTAACCTCTATCATCTCGATATCCACTTCTACCGTAACTACGATCATATTTATCGTCCCTAGCGTATCGATCATCTCTGTATCGGTCATCTTTACCATTACGATAACCACCTCCTCTAGGCGATTGGCTTCTACGTCTTGGTGGGGAGTAAGATGAATGACGATAACCACTGCCGCCTCCTTCTTTTCCACCACTACCGCCACCACTTCTTGGTGAAATAGAGCGATCTTTCCTTGAGCTACTGTTGTAAGCATGGCTGCTAGCAGCTGATTCAGGAAGTTGTGTTGTAGGTAGAACAGAAGGTTCTGACCTAGAAATTCCGTTTTGTGGGTCCATTTTTATTTTTTAAAGGAAAAATTTTTGTTTTTCTATTTTTTTGTTATTGTATTAAAAATGAAAATCTAAAAGGTTCTATTTGGTGCAACTATATTAATACGGTACACTAAAATGACAGATTTGGGAATTGTGAAAAATGCAATCAAATTTTTATTTTTTATTTAAAAAATATACATGATGATGACAACGATTAAAATTTTCGCAATTAATTATCTAAATATTGATAATGAGAATAAAAGGATGAGTGAGGAGGGAAAATAATTTTTTTTAAGAAAATTATATTTGAGTTGTTATCCATTCAAGTAATTGTCTTTCTTGTGCCCTTATTTCTTCATAGAGCGCATTATTAGCAGAAGTGCCTTGAACTGATTGGGAAGTTGTCATGAGGTTTAATAATCTATTGTCATTGTTTTTATTATAATTATTATTATTGTGATAGTTGTTTGTGCTATTGTTGTTATTATAAAAAGAAGATGATTCCAAAGATAGTTGATGATGACGATGTTGTTGATTTGTTGAATTAAGATTATTACTAGCATTGAAATTATTAGTATTAGGATATTGAAGTATATTATTATACAATGGTATGTTGTTTGAAGTATTATTATTATCATTATTATTATTATTATATTCTATATTATTACTAATTTTTTGGTTTTTATATTCTATATTATTATTATATTCTATATTATTATTACTATTATTATTATTATTGTTGTTGTTGTTGTTGTTGTTGTGTTTTTCCAATTGTTTATCAATTACTGCTGCTGAATTAGATGACAATGTTGCTAGCGATGACGATGAGGATTCCATGGATTTAGTCGATTGGAGTATATTGAGCAATGAATTCTTTCGTTGAGTTTCTAAATTATTAAATATTGATGGTACAAATGTTTTATTGTTATTGGGTGCTGTAATTGTGGTAGTGGCTGTCTCAACATTTTGATTTTTGACAATGATTCTTTTATTATAATCAGAGATAACAGGCTCGTATAAACCAACCGAGGTGTTATGATCAAATAATGATCGGTCAGGATCCAGTTTAGCAAAAGGTATTCTATGATTAGTTTGAACAGAAATTGGAGTTGAAATAGTAATATTATTATTGCTAATACTACCGCTATTATTATTATTACCGTTGTTATCATTAGTGGCGGCGGCGGCGGCGACTGTGCTGTTATTAATGTTGTTTTTATTATTTAATTTACCAAAATCAACTTTAACTGATATAGGCTTTAGGTTTAATTTGGTATTTACTTTGATGAGCTTATATTCAGAGTTGTCATTAGTTATTAAATTATTATCATCATTAGCATTATCATTATTATTATTACTACCATCGTCCTTATTATCATTTTCATTATTAGCAAAATCATCTTTAGATGGTTGATGATTCTTTTCACCAAATGCATGAGGAGTCAGAGAAATCCTGATTGGTCGAAATCTTAAATTCATTTTTGTGTTTACATTAATCAATTCATATTTAGTGGTTTCATTATTATTATTATTATTATTATTACTGGTTCTTGCTGTTTCATAAAAATCACTAAAGGTAGTATTACTGGTGCTAGTAGCATGGTTTGATCTTGTATTTTTTGTATAATTTAAATCCGCCTTAGCTTTACCTTTTTTATTATCAACAAAATTATCGGATGAATTATTTTTGTAATTATTACTGTTGCCATTGTTGCTATTGATATTATGATAAATAAATGTTGTATGATCAAATATTGAGTTTTCATCCTCTATGTTATGACCATGATCATCAATAAAAGCCAAATTTTCGTCCTCTTCATCCTCTTCTATGCCATCACTTTCAGAACAAATGATTGCTGATTCGTGCGAGGGTTTTATAGCATAATTGTTATCATCTAACCAATATGATTTCTTATTCCTTCCTATATTACTATTATTATTTTTGTTTTTATTTTTACAAGTCTTTTGTGTTGATACCCATTTTCGTAAGCGACTTTTTTTAAAAAAAAGCTATTAAAAAAAATTTAGGAGAAGATATGTATATATATATATATATATCAATAAAAGCTTTATTTACTTACGTAACAAATGGAACAACCATGTAATATCTACTGCTACCATATTTAACACAACCACCACCACAATTATAAGGTGATTCTTTATTACGATTTTTTGTCCAAGTGGGTAAATCTGAAAGATTATGCCATTCTATTTTCTATTATTTTTTTAAAATATCAATAATGATACATACATACATATGTTCTTATTATTGAACAACAATATAACTGATCAATAACTTACACTGATTTCTTTACGTGTCTGTGGACAAAAATTAGCACCTTCTAGTACACCAGCCACTATATATAGTCTGATCCTTTGGCCACGAATTGTTATTTCAACAAAATCATTTTCTTTAATCAATGGTGTGATATCATACCCAGTCTCCTCAAACACCTAATTATATTGATATAAGAGATTATTTTTCTCTAAATAAATATTTATGCATTCATGTATGTATGTATTGACGTACCTCTCTAACGGCACAAATTGAATCAAGTTCATCTTTATTTATTTTGCCTTTTGGAAAACCCCAACCTGATCGTGATGACCAACCTTTTACCAATAGAACCTTATCCATAGTAAGATTTAACATTATTGCGCCGCATACTGGAACCCTTATTTTATACTGCATGAAATCCCCAAACGCCTTTTCATGCTCATTTCTCCATTTGTAAAGCAATGGACAATGATCAAAAAGTGTTATTAGAGTCAAGTTGAAAATATAGTTGTAGTGAAATAATTATTGTGACAAGTATTTGGAAAGAAAAAGGATATATCTTGCAGAAAAGCCTTTTAATGTAAAGCTGGGTAGACTTGAATTTTGTTCACGAACAAAATCTTCATAGAACCAATGAGCCTGTTCGATTTGAAAGCAGATACGTTCTATGGAAGACAATTCCTCTTCGGGGACATTTATTATAAAACGACTATAAAAAGGATTTTCAATAATCTTTTACAATTGTTGCACACGATGAATAATTAACAAAATAATATAATATACCTTGATAGGTCATCTAGAATTTGAGTAAAGTCTGCATTCTCGAACGACATTCTTTCAGATTAAAGATGTGAAAATTTTTTTTTGATAGAAATCACGATAATGTAGGAGAATCATGTGACTGATATTTGTACGTTGTTCCTTTGCCTTTTCATTTGTGTAAAATTATTATTGGAGAGTGAGTGACTCTAATTTTCACGATCCGATGTGATTTATTTAGTTCCTAGTTTGTTTAGATGTTCTATACCTTTGAATATGGTTACACATCATGACAGACAACCATTGTTGTACACGCCCTTCTGAAAATCAACTCAATTTTGGAGCACCGATTTAACCCTGCCTGATATACTATTTTACAAATAATAGACATTTATCGCAATTGTATGTGAACTCAACGATGGACTATTTCTTGTAAAGTCAGTCATTATAAAAATTGAGTGTCAGATTTAATAAACTATCTATTATACAAGCCCATCTCGCTGGCCAAAATTAAATGGTTTTTTTCAGAAAATTTTTGGTTTATTTCAGTCAAACCATTCAAAACGGCCTTTTGAAACTCCTGAAAGTTTGGCAGGATATTTTCACGGACAGCTTTTTTGCTCAGTGTATAAAAACTGGCACCAGTTTGGGAGAAAAATACTAAGATCTAGCATGTTACGCATCCATGGGTGATTTAATTGTGGGAAACTGAGAAAGGCTTTACATGACCAAGAAGAGGCCACTTTACTTCAACTTGAAAGTCAGCTTTAATTTGCCATCCAGCCTGCCCAGTTGATAAGGGACCTCGTTAACAATTTTACAATTTTTTGGCTTGATATTAAGGAGGAATGGTTGTGACTTTGTACCCTACCGTGCTTTATCTTTGGGTGAATAAATGATTTTATTGACGAGATCCGTTAATTTATCTGGTCTTTTTCAAAATCAAATTTTCAATAACAACAAACAACATGGGTGCAATACGATTAGCTGGTATTTTGATATTATTCATTTTTCATACCACCTAGTAATATCTAGATCAGTCAACAATGTCTATGGTGTGGTTAAAATTGTTAAATTGAGAATGGATAAATTTCATAGACTTTGCTTGACATATCTCTTATTTCTGAAATAAGAATTATATTCTCTGTAATAAACTTAAAAAACAATTCTTTTCATTTTACTTAATAAAACTTTCATTGTTGGAAATTAAACCGTGAGCTTTAATTGTCAGTGTGGTATAGGACTCTGAGGTTTTGGTTATTTGTTTTGATATAAAGCAGGGGCTTAGTGTTAAAGTTGTTTGGCAAGGTATAAACTAACCAAATATAAAGTGATGGCAGTTATATTAACTAAAGTCATTATCGCATATTATTGTACCAAGTTAAATAATTGTTGTAAATGCATGGCTCCAAACCAACAGAGCTTTTAATTGGCCAATGGAAAGTAAAAGTAAATAGAAAGAAATTTTATAAAAGCCGTCCTTATTTAGATCATCAAGTGTGTGTTTACAGATTCACATATATACAAGAGTCATTAATTAACCAACCAAAAGTTAAGTCATAATTATAGTTGTTTGTCATAATTGATTTTGGAGGAAAAGTGATTATGAAAATAATTACGGATTCTTAATATGAATGAACATAATAATAAAATAACTATATATTAATTAATATGCCATTTGGCTTAAAGAATTCAAATAATTACAGAGATACTTTTGGCAACTATTAAGGTTAATTGTGACATTACAGATCATTTATTAAGAACAACTACGTCAAACTATTGTAATGACCATATGAGTTAAATGACAGAAACAAGAATTATTTTGTAAATAAAAAGATAAATAATTATTAATTAATTAAATGTTAACTTCTAATTAATTAATAATGAAATTTTTATTTACCTTCAACATTTGAGAGAAGAGAGTTAAAATCAAGATCATTTAATGAACTATCATTACTTGTATAACTTTTTAAGCTTTTTGATTTAGCAATCTTTTCATCTAATATTCTACTATGATATGTATCTGATGTGATTTGTGTGTTTGTCGTGAATCACTTCTGTCATCATTATTGAAATCAATTTCACATTCATCACCTATATATAAAAAAAATTTGAATAATCTTTTCAAAGTTTCCAGTGTTTCATTTTATGAAATTTTTCCCATTTCTTAAAAGCAAAATCATTCAGTTCTTTACTAGTTGGTCTTTTTGATGGATCCACATCCCAACACCTCTACATAATTTGTGCATAATCATCAGGCATTCCAGGTAATATTGTGGTCGTTAACCTTCACATGTATCAAAAATTGAACAATGATTGTGAGTTCTATCATCAAATATTGGATGACCTGCAAATATTTCCCACATCAACATCCCAACACTATAAATATCAGTTCAGTTTCTTTGGTGTTCTTTTTGTCTCTAAATAGTTCAGGTGTAATGTATGATACAATTACATAGGCTTTACCTGATGATTTTTCATCAACTAATACACATAATCCCAGATTTATTATAAAACATAAATCACAATGTATTAAATCTTTTTATATGTATATCATATAATGTAATACACAAATATCTAAAGATTAATAATTCTGTCTTTTAATGTTAAATTTAAATGATTTTCATTGCATAATTTCTATTATTTGGAAATTTAGTTATACTATAACAAGCAACAATTGTTCAATTAGTATAATAATAATAAATAATCATGTAAATCGCCAAATCAATTTCTAAATAAAGATAACACGTACCAACCCACCAATAAAATTGGATATTTTCATGATGCTGCGCAAATTTGCGGATGTTTTTTGCGGAAAAATACATGATTGTTTATTTTTGTTTTAAATAAAATCAATTACCTTATCAAAAAAAAAAAATTTTTCCTGGGTTACTTTGAATTATTTAACCTTTTTAATGCCACATATTGAACACCTAAATAACTAAAGACTCTATCAGAATATCTTGTCAATTTACACTTGTTGCATTTTTTTAGTTTGCCTTCTTTATAAGTTGCATTATTTAATTCAATGTCATAAATAAACTTTTCCTTGCAAAATTATTTTATTTTCAGAAAGCTCTTTGACTAATGGAAGAAAATTATCTTTTGCGCCTTCAACATCAGAACTAGTAACTGTTGCATTATGATTCATTTCACCATAAATTTAAATACAAATTCCAGTCTTTCTGGTGACTTTTTTATATGAAATTTAAAATTTAAAATTTATTAATCTACATATTGGATAGAGTGGAGTAAGGTTCTGAACAGAACAGAACAGAATAAATTCGGAAAAAATCTGATCTGGAATCTGAGATATTATGAATGGTATATTCATACATAATAATAATGATATTATTATTAGGATGATTATAATATATATTAATACAGTATAATGTTACTATTCCATGAATGGTATATTAATAACATTATTATTATTAATGCAAACAGCAGTTGTATAATGTATCATCTTTAAATGATGTTGATGGATATATATATATATATATATAATGCAATAAAATTTTTTAATTATTTATATAAGTATTATACAAAAAAATATATCAAATACACACATTTAAAAAAATAAAAAATAAAAGTTTAAAAACAAAAAAGATTTAGAACTTTTTAACAAATATGACCACCACTTGATCTGACACTAGATTAAAAAAAACTTTTTTTTTTGCACAAGACTACCACAGCTCAGACCCTCAAAAAAAATAATTTAAATTTCTTCCTCATCAATAATGTAATCTATGTGCTTGTGCTTGTGTTCTTGGTAATAGAGTGATGGGTGAATATAATTATCTTTTGAAAATCCTAATCTGCTTTTGTGTGTGCAGTTGTTGATTTTGTGGCTAATTTTCCTCACATTCTAAATATTAACCAGTTACTGAATGTCCAAAGTAATAACATCCCTCATTATGTGCCACTATTAGTTCTTGAGATGACTATTGATAAAAGTCTATGCTGCTGCTGATGAGATTTGTTGTACAGTGTGTAATGATGACCAGTTCTACTAATATTTTTTTTTCTGTGATAATTTCTAATATTGATGATGAAATATTGGATGTTCCATTCTTGTAGATCACCAAACATACAGTGTGTAATGAAAAAAATTGCCTTCACGAAAACTGAAATAAATTTGAAATAAATAAGGAAATATGTTGTAAATCTCAAAACACATCTTGATTTTCAATTAATTATTATCCAAATAAACATTTTTCAAAGTAAAAATTTTGTATAGTTTCGTTATTCCCCTTCCTGTAACTTTACAAGTATGGTTGACTTGAGTTTGGAGGCCCAACGGCAAACAATTCTCCATTACTGGCTTAGCGGTATTCAATCGCCAAAGGAGATACATAAGAAAACCAACATTTCCGTTCGTACTATTAATTATAATCTTAAAAAACTTCGAGAAACAGAAACCATTGGCCACAAGAAAGGTAATGGTCGCCTTTCTAAGGTTACACAAAGTGTGTCTCGCTCAATTGGACAGTATGTGTACCGAAACACTGCTGTTTCAACACGGCAACTTGCATCCAAGGTGCAAGCAACACAAAATATTTCCATTTCGCATAGTGCTATTTGGCGGCATATGAAAAAAAAAAGTTATAAAAGCTCTGTACCCCTCGGAACTCCAATGCTTACTAATAAACATATCGAAATGCGGGTAGCATGGGCACAAGCTCATTTAGAAGACAATTGGGACA